ATAGCTTTACCTGTTCTTTTTATTTGACTAAGGAGTCATATGATACGAAACAAGATGTACACCTTCTACAGTTAACATAAATTACCTCAGATTATCTTATTGTGATATTTCGAATGATCTTAAAAGATGTAAAAACCTTATATATGACATTGTCACCTAAGTGCGGTCTCGTTTTTAAAACTCAAGAATAGTCATGTATCTTTCCGTATTTTTCCACTTTTTACGAGCCAATATATCGGATAAGTTTGCCAAAATAAATGTCAACTATAAAAGAAACGTTAAGAATATATTTAACCACTGGTGATCATGTGACTTTTATAGTAATCTAAACAAGTAATGGCGACTTGTGAGTCCCGGAAAGTTTATTACATTTGTTACAAACGTTTCTGGAATTCAAACATGATCTAGCCAATCCTATACGCAGTAGCTTTCTTCAAATATTGGCACTTAGCGCGTGTTTTACGTTTTATAGTTCGTTCTCGAGAATATGTGAATATGTTTTGAATTGTGTCATCACTGCAAATGCAACATTAGGCAAGTACAAAACGAATTTACTCTTTTTCGGCACTATGAAAACAAAATTTAATTGCGAGTCCATCTTACATCAAACAAAATACATTTATTTCCAGCAACTATATTTTTTTCCATTTTAATGCTTTGGTGTTTCAAATTTAGAAACAACTTTTGATTTGAGAGTTTTTAATAAGAAATAAAATAGTCTTCTGCTGTTACAATATATCCAGCTAGACGTCTGCTTGACTATTGTTTTGATATATCTTAAGACTTTGTTGAATTAATACTGCAGTGAAAAAGCAGATAACAGTGTCTTGTGTTTTGAAGATGTTCATCGTAATATCAAGTTTTTAAAAATGCACAAGTACTTATTTTTTGCTGTCTGTGTAATAGTGAAAGGACTATGATTTCTATTTGTGCTTAAATCGACATAAATTTGCTTAATTTTGTGCTATTTACTTGCGTTTAGTCAATAAACAAAACAAATATGCCGACAAAAAACAATGTTTGTTAGCCAAAACATGATAATAAGATAATATCTCTATTCAATATAAGAAAATGATTAAAATTAAATGAGATTAAACTTATTTGATAGAGTGATATGTGAGAATCTTTAGTCGAGCAGAAAAAGAAGTCTATAAATTGTTTACAAGCAATTTAATTATCATACTTGCAGTGTTATCCAATCGAAATTCTGTTTACTGCCATACAAATAATCAGGTTAAAGTACATATGTCCAATTAAATATAAATTTTAAGAAATATATTTTCTAGTTAATATAATACTACAATTATGATAATTATATTACTGTATCATTGAGGTCGAAATAAATAAGCTCTTAGGTATTTCAATCGATGGTACTAGTAAATGACTTTCAATGCATGCAATGCAAAGCTATCTAAGACAGAGAGTAAGTATTAAGATGGGGAAGGGGGGGGTACCAACGTTCCAATAAAGACTAAGAATACTTTTTATTTTGGGCATATATGTCCATCCAATTACTGACCTTAATTTTTTTCTTTCATTTCTTTTCATGTGACGTTCTATTGCTCAAATAATATTTGTCCAAACCATATTTCAAAATATTTAGTCATCATTATACTCTACATAATCAAGTTAAAGAGGTACTTTATTACATGTATTGAATACTTTTATCGGGTTTTGACTTCGAAAAGTGATTCAAGTCTTTTTTAAAGGTACTTTTTTAAGGTATTACTAAATACATTTACATGCTTTATATAAATTTGACAAAACCGTTATAAATGAAAAAAATCCTGTAGCAGGGTATATTTACATACTACTTCATTCCATGACAACTTTTTATATTTAAGCTACATTAAGCCTTAGAAATTATTCTTTCGTTCTGAAGAAGGGCAATCGTGTATAAAAATAATGCTGTTATCACAAATTTAAAACGTGAAAGATGCATTTTACCTGAAGGAAATAACGTAAAATAAGAAATGGTTTGTGAAAAGGCAAACAAAGAGGTATTTTGACTCCCATTTAAGATATATCATTATGATTGTACTTACGCAAAAATGTATAAAAGATGATACAACTATATCACCAATGAGTACATTTAAAAAGAAACTGTAACAGGACACCAAAATTAAAAAACAGGTTTTATGAAAATACAAATATTTTCTTCTTTGAAGCTTAATGGGCCTTTAGATATGATTGAATTAAATTTCGTGATGTGATAAAAAATATTGGAATACATGCAACAAGACGTTGTTTACGTAATTTAGTCCTTTTTAAAACTACACCTAAGAAAGGTTTTTGGTTTTGCATGTTTTTTCCCTTTTCATTTTTTCGTATTTCTTTAGTTTTGATCCCAAGATAATAATTTCAAAACAAATACATTCCATGTGTATCACTTTTTCTTAAAGCTTGCTTTATATGTGTGAAGGACAACGTGTAAGCTTAAGTATAAGTTTGAAAGTTAAAGTTGCTATATATCTTAAACAATAAGTATATTTTGCTTACTGACTTGCAAAGTAAAACCGGGACAATGAAGGCATACATCTCTGTTCTATCTATAACTTCCATGGTAGTTCTAGCTGGAACACATTGTGACGTCAAAGTCCTAAAAAGCAATGGAACTGCTGGGAAAATCTTGACAAACAGACGCTTCATAAAGATAACCTGATTTTTCTAATTATTGTTTACTTTTTCAAACCAAGAACCTAAAATTTGTTTGCTACAATCAGCTGATATTAAATTGCACATAAAGGTTTTTTCCCCGGGGTCTATCTGATTACTATCTCTGTCGATTCCATTAAAGAAGGGGTATTGGTTGTATAATTCCAGCAATTTTTATTGACAGTATAGATTTATTAGCACCATGTAAACAGTAGACCGATATATTATTGCAGAGTAATATTTATCAAGTGTCTCAAATTTTAACAAAAGTATTGCACAATCAAGGCTAAGATGTTCCGCTCTTAATTTGCTTAACTAAGAGGCGAGGCATAGAAATATCGACAGAAGACTTATGTAAGAAATGTAATATGAGTAGAATTGAAAACGAATACCCTTTTTTCTCGTTTGTCATTTTTATAGAGAAATAAGAAGCTCACAATTGCTGAAAAATTATTGTCATTGGCCTAATTTGAACAAATTTGAATCATTATAATCTTGCCCTCAAGGTAGCATTTTAAACAAAATCTCATCTATATTATGTCAATGTTAAGAGCAATACGTAATGAACATTACATTTTAATAATTTTCAAACGAGTTTTGTTATAGCTTGTTTATTAAATCCTGCATTGTGCTAATATTGGAAAATAATCTAAATGAATTTTATGACTCATGTCGAATTAATTGCCGAATTGATTATTGTATGCACGTATTAAAAACAATTATTGTAACTTTATAATAACATACTTGTATACACGAGTAGATAGCGTTTATCGAGCTATTGTCAAAGCTGGTCTGAACTGATTTACATATGTATTTTTTCAATTAAGAGCACAACAATCTATGCGATACATGTACATTGTTCGTGCAAAAAGTGGTTAAAGGCGAGTTATTGGCCAAGTTGCTTTCATATTTGAACACACCTCCCGTTTTTGTTACTAGGGATTTTTGACCACAGTAGCCTGCATTAACAACTATAGTTTTTTAGCATGAAGGGGCTCAATCACCTCAAATCTACAACAGTTTGACAACCATAAAAAATATTCATGATTAATAAGCATTATTCTGTTAGCTGCAAGACTCAAATGAATCTGAATTAAAGCAGTGTCTCGGTTTAACTCGGTTTAGCTTGCTATACGCAAATTATGCAAGTGTTCAAGAACAGGCGAAAGTTAAAAACAAAAGCAAAAATAAAAATTCTAACAATATGATGTTCTTTAAAAAAGCTTTTAAAGCTTTAAACTTGTGACAAAAAGATAAATATTTCAGAAAATAATGTATTAAAGCAATGATCTTTGCACAACTTATATTGCTTGTACAGAATATTTGCAGACAAACGGCGACATTTTGAAAACAAATTCTTCATCTTATATTTGTAAATATCATCGTGAAATAATACACTTAAAAAACATTTTTTCTCTGTAAAAGCAATTTCTTTTTTGTCATTGAATAATGAATAAATTTTTAAAAAAAGCTTGAAAAACTCGGACCTATATTCAAATATGAACAGTAGATTTTTACCTTGACACTCGAAACAAAAAATTTCTAATTTCATTGCAAATCTATAAAATTGTTACCTTTTAAAGTAAAACCCGATAATGTAATGTTGCCAGTATTTGTTTTCAGTATTTTTTTATCAGTCTAACAAAACATTATCTTATAATTTGATATTTGAATGGTCATGTACTATGCCAGATAACGGTTGGTAATAACCTTATCACGTAACTCAGTCGAGACATCTTTTTTTGTGAAATTGGTCCGACTCCAGACTATTTTATTTGAAAGTCCCTGATTAAAGCATCTCAAAAGACCGTCATTTTTACTTTTTATTGAAAACTGAATTCTGAATTTAAGCATATCTTCATTATTGATAAGACTCTTAGGGATAAATGAATAACTCATGTTTTATGTTACAGAAGGGCGAACACTTTTATTTCACAAATAAGTTCAAGAGCATACTTATCTGTTATTTCATGATAAAACAATCATGATTATTATAAACGAATATTACAAAAAATACCAATGCCTTGCTGATCATTCATATATCTTCATATAACCTCTTATATACTTAAATGTTAAATTCAATGACAATGACACATAACGTAGGACTTTCGAATGCATGACATAAGCAATTGTTTACGTTCTTTAACTCTTTGTTCTTTCCTTTTGTATCAAAAACTAGATTTACGAAGGTTTTGCAAAGTCATCCTTTGTTTTGTATTATTGTGGTATTATCTGTGGTTTTTTGGTTTAACAGATAACAATTTAAAAACAATTATTTCATCCCGTTTGTATTTGCATCATGTATTCAGTTAGCAAGCTATATATTCATGAACATTCTCTCGTTGGTTTCAGTTGACATTGTTAAGTTAAAGTAAAGTCACATGCTTTTGGACAATCAATAGTTTTTATTTATTAACGAGCAAAGTAAAACTGGAACAATGAAGGCACATATCTTTGCAATATTTACATTAATAGTACTTATGGGAATACATTGTGACGCAGAAGTGTTGAAAAGCAATGGAACTGCCGGTAAAGATCTGAATGCAAAGACACTTGTGTCCTACGGGCGGGAATTTAATGATTCCTTGATAACGATGATTGGAAGAGTGATTGAAAATTATCACGTGTGTACTGCATGGTCAGAATGGTCCGAATGTGGCGCAAAAGCAACAGATTTTTTCTCTACCAGAACTAGAACCAGGCGTTGTGGGGAAACAGGAGCGAGATTCGGTCATCGTGATGAAATTGAAGCCGGAGTCTGTGAAGGAGGAACTGAAAACAAAACGAAGACAACGTGCCCTGTCAGTTATCATACGACCACAAAAGGATTTTGCCTAAAACTGTATACTGAAGCTAAAACTCATTCGGATGCGGTATCCGTGTGCAAGAGAGATGGAGGCTACCTTGTCAACATTGACTCGGATCAGAAGTATGATGATATAAAGGCAATAATAATTGCAAATAATATAACAACACAAATTAACATTGACGGCAATCGTGTCAACTCACAGTGGAAATTTTCTTATGGTTCCACAAACGGATATTTTCACTGGTTTCCAAACAATCCATCCTCAAACCATTTGTATAACTGTTTACGCTTAGCTGGAAACAGACCTGATGCAAATCATCGATTCCGCACTTACAATTACTTATGCGATAGTGATCCGATTCCTTTCATTTGTGAATTCGTTTTCAACTGATAGTAGCTACGAAATGAAGAGGATGAACTATTACCTTCATGCGATGTAAATTGAGCATCTTTAGTAGCATACAATGTTAAATCACTGAATATTTCAATAATTATTGGTATAAGTTTGCTATTCTTACTGTTTATTCTTTAAAGAAAGTACTGTTTTTCTCTGCATTTTATCTTCTAATATTATACTTGTTCATTTCTGCATTAATAAAGTGATTGATCTTAAAAAAGAGCTTTTATATTTGCATACATTCTAGTTGTTGTTGTTGATATCATTGTTGAATCAGACTGTATGACTTTTATTTCATTCACACAATAATGAGAAACAGTTTGCATCATTTGTTTGATTATCTTTTAGTTATTACTTGAAAACAAATTTGCTGGCTCGATAAATAAACAAACACTTTTTCTTATTATATATAAGACATTTCACAGAGTTTGATTATTTTCTAATTATTATTTTATCAAAGGAAATACATTTATTCCAATTATGATTGATAAGCAGGGATAATTCATTTTCATAAATGCGTTTCAGCTTTGTGTTCTTCCGTCTTATTTTTATTCCAAAAGAGGAAACTGCGTTCGTGTTCCTGTATTTTAAGACAAGAATTGCCTTGCCCCTGTCCATTATTGTTTGATGTTATAAACCTGTCGACAGCATATTGATTATATGGTCATTGCACACAATATATCTTCTCGTATTTACGATGAATTTTCGGTGAATTTCGTGAGATATACGCAATGAGAAGTGATTACAAGTCGTGTCCATGAAGTAATAATAATGGGTGCTATAGCGCACTGAGGGTTAAAAATTTCTAAATGCCTTACGTGTTGAGAGATCGAGCATGCATAGAATTCTAAGTTTTTTTTTATTTATTTTTTTAAACACTAATGAAGATACGGTTGTTTTTATGTTGGTTTTGTTAAATTAAATAGGTTTTACACTGAATTAGGTGAAATATGATAAACAAGATCAACAAAGAAAGACGCGTTCAATGAACGCAACCCCCACACGACCCAGCAGCACGAACGAGCGGCAAGGAGCCCAGGAGGACCCCAACAAAAACAGGACAAGGCGCATGTCGTGTTTTAAATAACACGGTGTTAGAATTATATTTAACATTTATTCGGGTTATAATATATTATCATCTCAATGCCGTAAATAAATATAATACTGAACAAGACAGATTTCTGTCACCAAGTCCATCCACAAATTTGTTTGTAACACAATCATTTGCATGGTGCATCTGCAAAACAATATATACATAGAAAACAACAATTAAGAAAAGGAAATATATTTATCTTTATTATGGTCGAATTTCCAATGTATTACTAAATTTACAATACTATGTACATGCATGTTAAACGATAAGAGTGTGTTTTTTTGTTTGTTGCAGGGAAAATCGATAAAGTCAGGATGTCCGAAATCGACTAATTGCTGTAAAAAGTTAATTTTTAAGTGATAGCAGCTTTACGAAGAACTTTAGTAATTCTATAAACAATATGTATTTAAGGTGGATACAGTCCTCTTAAAAATGTTCTCTGCATATATTCTTTGGCTGTAAAATACAAATGATTAAAAGTTTGATGCCTTCAATAAAAAAACACAATTTAATTGTTGTTAAATAGTGTATTCTTCATAATCCTGTAATTAATCAATTCAATTTCCTTGACAAAAGAAATATTATTAATATATATATCCTCAAGAGTGACTTGTGCATGTATGAAATTATTGCTAAACGAGTATCATCCAACAGAAATAACAGCACATCATGTTGTTCCTAAACGTTAATGTATTCTGTTCATGGGCAATATTCATGTGTGTTTAATAACATATATATTCTATGTTGAATCGACCTTTAAAAAATAAAAATAACACATAAATGTATTGATTCTTCTTTATATATAATTCTTTATTGTTACGATAGTAAAGAATAAAACACGTAAGCAAGTACGAGTAAACTAAATAAAACAGATATGAAAAATTGGTAAGAAAGAAACTAATTATTTCTGATTTAAAGAAAAATGGAACCTTTTTATTATGCAAATAAAATGACAGTTTTGGCATTAAAATTAAATATATATCAACACATGCTAAATCGATGTATCGATATTGAAGTTTTTTCGGGTTTCAAACTTAAGAATGTAAATGACAAAAGATCATGGTCAGCACTAGTCCTTATTTTGTCAGTTAGTTGTTTGAAAATGGTAACCATTTTGCAAAGATTGAAAGATGGACAAATCCATAAAACATTTAAGGGAGAATGTACTCAGCGTAAGAATAAATACAGCAAAGTGTACTTTTGTATATGTCCTGTGCTACGATGACCATTCAGCCATCAAAACATGTCTGTTTTTAAGAAAGTGTACCTGTACTTTTGAAACAATAAACAAATAAAAAAATAACAAAATCTCAATTCGACAAAAACCGATGTGCAGTTATGATAAGCGGATAAAATACCTATCAACAATTTGTTCAAATCAGTCCTTTTTATAATTTTTTGTCATTTGTCACACAGTTTCTTTAAAAAAAACATCTACGAAAAATGTCTTCGCCCATATTAACAAAATAATATTTACATTATGAATCATTATATTGGACAAAATTCTTTTTCTTTGCCAATTTTAGATGAATAATATACATGCAGTAACTACTGACGTGCAGGTTTGAAAACTATAAATAATTTAACGTTTGATGCCTGCAATGAAAACCTCAATGTAATTTGTGTTTGTATGTGTCTTCTTCACAATCTTGTAATCAATGAAGTCAATTAAAATAGGAAATAAGTTGCATGAAAGAAATATGTTTATATATTTCCTAAAGAACGACTTGCTCATGTAGGAAATCATTGCTAAACAATTAAAATTCTATATAAATAGCAGCATATTATTTTGTTCCGAAACGTTTTATTATAAAAAAATGATTGACCTCTCGATTGTCCACTCTGCTATATACTTGGACTTCGATTGGAAAGTTTAAGATGACCAGTAATAATGAAAAGAGGAAGTTTTAACAAAATAATATTTACAATATGAATCATTATGTTGGACAAAATTTTTTTTTCTTGCCAATTTTAAATGAAAAATATACATGCAGTCACTACTGACGTGCAGATTTTATAGTTTATTGTAAACAGGAAAATAATGAAAAGAGGAAGTTTGAAATTAGTAAAATACAGTGTAATTTCTGAAAACCGAACACCTGTGGGAATAACCAAAACGTTCGGAATTTGGAAGTTTTCATAAGTCCGAAACGTTAAACAACAACGTGATGAAAAATGTATGAAGCTGATTAAATTTATAAAACAGCAAAATATAGATATTTTAAAAAGTTTGTAACTTTTTTAAATTTCTTTATCACCTGTTACTGAATTTGTGAATACAATAGCATAATGTTTATTAACAATTTATCCTTAATATACATTATTTTATGTATTACCTGCTATTAACCTGTTTTTTTATGATTTTTTGTTTAACACTTTCATCAAGAGTTCGAAATGTTTTTCGGATTGTGACACTTATAGGGGTCAAGATAAATGTTACTCTGGAAAATACTGACATTTCGAAGAATTTACAATCTCAAGTATAATATTTATTCACACCTTTATAAATTTCCGGATTATAAAATAATCACATTTTCCTTACTAATTTATAACGTTGCTGTTAGTTTTTCTGTCTTAAAATCATGCCAACAGAACGGTCAATTCTTACTCTCTTTCTTACGCAAAAGTTCTTCTTTCTAATAATAGAAAATCCGGTCATAGAAAAATTATTCTACTTTTTTGTTTGAAGTCGCCTATCATTTTTTTGTGATATTAAATTATCTCAGGAAACCGAGTTGCCTTTCTTTACATATAAAGATTGGCTGATACTATTACCAGTGTAATTACATAAATCATCACAAGATAAAAAATAACACACTTTTCTGGGACATGCTGTGTCATTTATTCATGTGTTAATATTTATATGTTATAATTATATTATATTAGTAATGCGTTTCAGCTTAAGGTTTATTTGTGTTCTTCCCCGTCATATACGAGGGGTGTCCCAGAATTACGTGGACTTTGGCTGTAACTCAAAAACTACTGAAAATAAAAACAAACAAAACTAACATGAACAAAATGCAACTTTATTGCATTAGTACAAAAAATTTCAAAGTTGTCCGCCAACTGGATCAGTGTCTGTGGGCAGGGTAATGAGACAAGGGGTAGCGGATGCGGGGCAGTGTATTCCGACGTTACAACGTCATTCCGGTGGTGTCGCTAGTTGTTAATAAATGCGTGGCGCTGAATGTCAGTTTTCCTCAACATAGTCGCCGCCTAACTCAATACACCTATGGTGTCGATATATCCACTGGTCGTACACCGCCCTGTACCACTCCTGGTCGAAATCAGCCACCACTTTCTGCGTTGCGAACGAGAGTTCCTGGAAGGAATCGAACTTCCGTCCCTTAAGTGCCGACTTCACAGTTGGAAATACCCGGAAGTCCATCGGCGCCATATCCGGCGAGTAGGGTGCGTGCTCCAGAATCTGAAAATCCAGAAGACTGATCTCCAGCCTGGTGGATGCTGCGTTATGGCTTGGCGCGTTATCCTGGTGCAGCAACACCTGATCCAAGGGAAGGTTCGGCCGCTTCCGACGCAAGGAACGCACAAGATCTCGCCGTAACACCTGACAAATAGACAATTTATCTACTAAGTAAGCGATATTGTACATATACTTAATCCGCAAATAATAATAATAATAATAATAATAATAATAATAATAATAATAATAATAATAAAAATAATAATAATAATGATAAATAATAATAATAATAATAAAGCATACTATTAACTTGTCCTTAATTGACGCCGCAGTCAACGTTGACTTTCTCCCACGACCCTTGTCGTCTTCAATGTCCTCCCAGGCTTCTCGAAAACGCTTATGCCACTTGAAAACGAGTGATCGACAAACAGGAAGTCTCACTTTTGCAGTCTCCAACATTTCCTGCGTCTGTGTTGGCGTCTTCCCAAGATTAACACAAAACTTGATGATAGTCCGATGTTCCGCGTTATCCGTGGACGTCATTTTTTGTTAAATATCCAAGAGCAACGGTTGTCAGTTGTCCGCTGGTAAACAATAACGGAAACAGCTATGACGTCAAAATTTCAAACGAACGTTCATATGACGTCACTGCATATGCTTACGACGTCGCGCCATTTTTTACGTATAAATACGCAAGATATACGAAAGTAAAGACAACTTATTA